TAGAAAAATTATATTTATAGCAAATATACATTAATCGCAGGTGCGCCAATGAGGAGAAGAAGTGTTAGGTCACGGCCCTCTTTCCTAAAAAAAAGGCATCCACCCCCTCTCCCCATCCTAAGAATAACATTCTTTCAAAAGTTCTAATTAAAATACTTATATCTACTTTTTTTAGTATATACTTAAATTTTTGTAAAAAAAAATGGAGTACATATTGAAAAAAAGGTTTCTAAATAAAAGGTCCTCTAAATGGCTCTGATTGTTCACCAATCCGGAAACAACATAGGTACAAAAATCACGATGTAAGTGACTGCCATTTGAATAATACAAGAAGTCAGTGAGTGAGTGCTTTTACTCATCCTCGGTATTATACCTTAAAAATATAAAGCTTTTTCACTTGCATGTGTGCATGGTGCTGCAGTGCATACATCTTGATGATAAAAGTCATATAAAATGCTCATTTTTAAAAAGCACCCCCTCCCCTAATATTTTTTTTGGCGTGGGTTTAATGTGCGGGCAGGCTGGAGATTGTTAACGAAGCTAACCGCACATTAAAATAAATTTATAATTCTTATAATACATAAAATATATAAAGAGTTCTCAATATAACAATAAAATGCATAAATATTGCAAATTTACTGAGATTTTAAATGCAAAATACTCAGCAATAAAACTAAAACAAAAAATGTATGATTTTAAATACAAAATACGTGTAGTCTAAGCTTATTTTTCCTTAAATTCAGCAAAATGGGCTTATATTAGACACTCCCTCAACGTCACAGAAATGATATGAATGAAAAGATGATATTGTTGAAGATTTAAAAAACAAAAAACATGCCTTAATAATAGATAAATCTTCTGACATTTCAGCAAATAAACATTTGTGCACTTTATTTCGTTTTTTTAATGATTTAAAAAAATGAAATTGTGTTTATGGGATTAATTCTTGTCCATGAAACTACTAGAGAAAATTTATTTCACTTGCTGATGAAGAAATTAAAAAATGCGGTCAGATTCTTTTTAATTCTATTGGATTTGCTACAGATGGTGCATCAAACATGACAGGATGTAATAATTTCGTTAGGACAAGAATTAAGATGTTCACTTAACTGTATCCAACCTAAGTGCATCTATCATTTAAATAAGGCTTAAGCACAAAATTTATGATTTTAGCAGTAATTTGATAAATATGAGGTTGACTTTGGCGCTAATTTTATAAAAGAACGTGATTATTTTTTACAAAAGTGAAATCATAGCACTGACTCAGGTATCAAAATAAAAAATGTAAAAGAAAGATGTTTTTGCGTACTAAATGAAGCTTATAGTTAAGTAACATCTAGACTACGATCATCAATGGAGACATATAAAAATTATATCCAGATATAATTTTTAAAGATATAATGGAGAGATATAAAAATTATATCCAGATATAGTTTTGAGTGAAGAATCAAGACCCAATATTTCTGAACTGCCATTTTTACATCTGGTAGAAGATGACTTGGGCTTAATAGAAGAACAGTATCGAAAAACTGCATTCGTAGAAGAAGAAGAACCATTTAAAAAAGGTGGCAAATTTTTTTTGTTAACTTTTTATTTATCGAATTATTACTTTAGAAACGACATTAAGATTAGAATCAAGTTTTCATAGTTTTTTTTAATTTTTTTTTTTTAAGCGCTCGTGGCTCAGTGTTTAGAAGCAAGAGATCCAGGAGTCGATATCTGTAGTGCCCTGTGGCAAGACCATTAAGTCTTCTAGGGGTAGGGTATAGTAGGGAGAAGTGGGACACAAACTTTTTTTTTCAGGGTAATTGCAATATCTTTTTTATATGATGTATGAACTGAACCAAACTAGTCTTAAGAAATAAAGCAGTATTTGGATCACCGAATCTATCCCCTAAGATTGACAGAATGTTTTAATAAATTATATATTTTTTAGTTTTAGAAGAACCTTGTTATTGGGGTAAAGTGGGATAGTTGTGGGAGAAGTTGGACAAGTGTGTGGGAGAAGACATGCGGGACATTTGGGGGAGATGTGGAACTATATAAAAACGACTTCAAATCTAGTTAAATTGTTTAATCTATTAATTTGAGCAAATTTTGATTTTAAAGTTTAGCTTAGTTTAAATAAAACGCGGCAGTGGTGTAGTGGTAGAGCGCTTGGCTTGTAAGCGCTCTACCACTACACCACTGCCGCGTTTATTTAAACTTCAAACTCCACCACGTCCCTGGAAATACCACGCTCAACTTAGTTTCTCCGCGCAGCGGGCTTTGTTCGTTAAGGTTTGTGCTTTCGAGGGTTTAAGAGAGGATTGTAACCACAATTAAAAAAAAATAAAAAAAGCAAAAAAACGTGCAGCCTCCTCGCCTGAAGTGGCCCCCTAGGAGAGATAAATAATAGGAAAAAAAATCAAATTATCAATGCCTTTTTCCATCGATTTAAGATTACATTTTAAGAATTAAAATTTTTTTGTTAAAAAAAGAAAAAAGTTATTTTACATTTAAGATGCCAAAGTTCACTTGGAAAACGATTTCAGCAATTGTTCTTGATGTTGTTCATCTATAAATATTTCAGCATTCGTCCATCCAGATTGATTGGCTAATCCAATAGAACCTTCTGGTGCTCCTATCATTAGTGAGTTTCTAAATAATTTTCTTGGAAAAACAATAACAGGGGGTATTGCTACACCAGCTGCAGAGACAATGCAACACACTGTTACTAGTTCACCTCTTTCTCTAGATGTTATTTGTCCGACTTGCTTTGTTCCTTTTAATGCAATGACACGAGGAGTTTTCTACACAGTAATAAAACCTGTCTCATCAAGATTAAAAATTTTAAATGATGTTTCCTTTGTTAAACGTATAACCGCTTTAATCTCCTCCGTCATCTTCAGCTATTCCGTTCACAAACACCTATCTGCCCTCAACGCCAATAAATCAACTGGAGGTGACGGTATCAATCCGTTTGTTCTTAAAGCATGCGCTGATACGGCGGCTACCCCGCTCGCCATCATTTTTCAGAAATCGATGGATCAAGGTGAAGTCCCAAAGGCGAGGCTCTCGGCCACGCCTTTGGGACTACACCTTGATCCTTCGATTTCTAAAAAATGGGAAAGCTTTCAAGTAGATCCGCTGTGATCTACTTGAAAGCTTTCCTTTCAAGTAGATCACAGCGTGTCATATTAGGTTCAGTGCTAGGTTCTACGCTGTTCATAATATTTATTAATGACTTACCCGAACACATCAGTAGCAAAAACTTATGTAAAATGTATGCAGACGATACTAAAATCCTGAGTGTCGTCAAAACCACTGAAGACAAAGCTCGTCTGCAATCCGATATAGATAGCGTTGTTACCTGGACTCGAACCTGGTTAATGGAACTCAACATCAAGAAATGCAAAGTCATGCATTTCAGTAAGTACAATGTTTCCCCACACATTTATTTAGTGAACGAGTACGACGCTAACGGTAGCGTCACTAGAACAGTAATCGAGTCTTCAACATCCGAAAAAGATCTAGGCGTTCAAATTTCCAACAACTTAAAATATGAGAGGAAAGCACAAATAGCCGCTGCCAAGGCCAATAAAGTCCTCGGCACATTGAAAAACACGTTTATAAGCAAAGATACCAAATATGGAAAAAACTTTACACCACTTATATACGCCCACATCTCGAGTTTGCAGTTACTGCCTGGTGCCCGCATCTTGAAAAAGACATAAATGTCATAGAACGTGTTCAGCATCGGGTTACCAAAGTATCGCACGAAATAAAGCGCTTTGATTACGAGACAAGATTAAATAGACGTTTACGTGGCGACCTCATTCAAAAATATAAACTCGAAAACAGTATCGACTCAATTAGCTGGCATATAGATCCACCTAACATCCCACCTAGCTACGGTCATCGCAAGCGCTTTCATCGTGAAATGGACTACAACTGCCTCGTTCGCTATAATTCCTTCAACAACCGCGTCGCTCACCCATGGAACGCATTACCTAACGTAGTAGTCAGTGCTACCAGTGTCGATCGCTTCAAAGCAAAATTCGATCAGCTTTAATAATTACTACAGCGCATCATCTTCCGTGCAATATTGCACGAGCTAGCACGGCTAGCTGTTGATGGGCTTACGGAACACGCCCGCTCGGTGTAATTTAACTTTAACATGTTGCTTTAGACTCTGGTATACCTTCTTGTAATTTGTTAAAGAAAATATCAATATTATTCTATTAATATTTTATCTAACATGTCTTTAGATAAGTGCTCAGTGTTTGTTTTTGTGCAACAGAGAAAATCATAGTATGTTGGTAATTTGGTTGAAGATTAGCAGCTGGGTATTGACACTTTTTTTTAATACACCTATGAAGTACAAGCTTAGAAATGCCAGCTGAATATGCTGCTTTTCTAAGGCTCATCCCAATCTCCACCGAATATCTTAAAATATCTGGCAAGCTTGATAAATAACAATATATATGTGTAGATAATATGCGTAGTCAGTTAAAGAAAAGTTACATTTAAAAAACGAGTAAAATTCAAGTAAAGAAGGATTTTAAAAAATGTAAAAAAAAAATGTTGGTACATATTAAGAAATAACTTTTATTGGTAAATTTTTATTTTAAATTTCATAAGTCTGTTGCTAAATTTTTTGCTTCTGAAATTCAGAAAAAATAACAACAAAAAAAACTACAAAACAAAAAAACAATGTGCGCGTGATTCAAAGTAAGTTTTTGAGGTTTTAATAATAAAACGCAGACATTAAGTCGTTACAATATGTACTAATAATAGCAATAATTTTTTCGGTCTACGTTCTATCAAATATTCAAAACTTTATTTTGAATTATCTTAAAGAACGTTAACCCTCATGATAAGAATTTTCTTATTTTAAGATCAATTTGACACAATTTTATTATTATATTTCAATTTCATAATAAAATTTTGCGATCATTGTAATCCTTAACTGCTTTTTCTTTTGACAGTTTTGACTTATTTCCAGACTTATTATTAGAAAAGCGGCGATTTTCAAAACAAAAACGTTGAGCATGTGTATGATGTATAAATATTATAAAATTTTTTATCTTGTTTATTTCATTTTTTTGTACCCAGTTTGTATAAGATTTAAAAATGATTTAATTTTGATTTTTATGCTGAATAGAAATGAACATAAGACTAATATGTTTTTGAGTTGCCGAGTTTTATTACTTATGTGTTTTTGTCTAAAGTTATGAAAAATATATGGCTCTTAAGAGCCATATATTTTTCAAAGCCAAGATGCTCACTAAAATTTAAAACTGAAATTATTTATTAAAGCTGAAAGTAATTTAGCTTAAAGTTTACGTAAAACTTCATAAATAGAATTAATAATACTGATTGTTTATTAAATTTAGTATGAACATAGTTAATCATATTACAAGCAACAAAAGACAAGATTTAAAAATTGATATAACCCCAACTAGAATGACAGAAGGTATTTTAAAAATATTTTAAATGCAGGCAAAAGTTCAAAACCTCCTGAAGGATGCATCTGTTTTCAAATAACGGCAGAACTTTGTCAAAATTAAAAATGTTTTAAAATTTTTTTTAATTTTGGTGGTTTTGAACTTTTGGTTTACAATATATTGATAATAAAAACTTTTTTTTTTAATAATTTGTTATCTTTTTTGTTCAGATAATATTTTATTTATTTTTTTTATCAGCGGCTTTCTCAACATCTCAATTTTAGTGAATTTTTAATATAAATATAAGGAACATTTTAATATTCTTTTTTTAAATTTTTTTTTTTTTTTTATCATTATTTGATAAACTTCCTGCCCCAACCAAACCCTCAGTTAATGTAGTGGTAATTCCTTACAGCAGCAGACTGTAAGATAGTTGATGTAGCAGCACTCATTTTGTAGCAGCAGGTTATAAGATAGTCGATGTGTGTACTGAATAAATATTCCTTTCGAAAGTCTCACAAGCGAAAAAATAAAACTATTTAAGCCGCTTAACTGCAGATTTATCATAATTATAAATGCAGCTAGAAGTATATTAGCAGTCATAATTTTTTCAGAATGCTGAAAATATAATTCTAACTAAAAAGAATATTTTCTTTGTTATGGCTTTATGCATGGTGTATGGAGCCATTTTGTTATACTTACAATTAAATCCTCACCATACTAAAAACTTGATCAATCTTCTTGGTTAATCAATCAATGCAATAGTTGTGTAGTTTTATAGCAAGTGATGTGGCTTTAGAGCAAGTCTAGCTATTGTTACTGTATATTATTATGTTTTTGGTTAGTTAAATTCTTGGAATATTGAAGACAAATCAATTTGTATTTACAGTTTTTGAGAACCGCTTGTTCATTTTTGCTTATTATTTTGGTTGACAATATCTTGTGAAATAATCTTAACATAAGATCTTAATTGATAGAAGATGCAGTAAAAAAAAGTAATCTAATAATAAAACTTTTTCTTGTATACTTTCAAAAAATAATGTTGATGCTCTCACCAGGATACATCAAGATTATCGGATTAACTAATTAAACTATCTGCATTTTACTGGGAGGCTGGAAATCTTGAAGTTAAAAATAATTATACTAGTTTATAGCTTATTACTTATCGTAGATCTATTTACCGAATGCTGATTGTTTTATGAACAGCAAGTATGTAATCTGGAGATAACAAGCAAACAAGAAGCAACAGTGTGATTCCATTTAAAAAGAATTCTATGCTAAAAACAACATTTGTGGGACAAGCTATTTGACAGCTAAACAATTTTTTCAAGACTCATTTTTTTTTTTTTTTTTGAACTTGGCTCTACAAAGGGATAATTTATTTTGTTCTGTTGTGCTTACAGGTTGCATGAAAATGGGATTGTCTAAATCAATAAACTATACACTTAATTGTCATTATGACATTATCATTTAACAATAAAGTGCATAGTTGCTGAGAGTGTTAAAGGTCCATTCAATATATTGTCTTGGTACAATGTAGACACAAGAAAATAAACTACAGAAACAAAACTACAGAAAAATATGTTGATTTTGTTGTGAAGGACATAATTATTTTGTATTGTAAATAGCATTATTATTGCGTTTTATGAAATTTTATTGGTTTGCTTTTTGTAATTATATTTTACATAACTATAGTCTTGATGCATTTATTATACTCTTGACTATTTAGAGAATTGTATATATTTGGTGTATAAAGTTTTTTAGCGGTTGAATTTGATTTTTAATAAATGCATTACTATACTAAACACTTGTAATTTCAATCAGACTCCTGTTTATTATGTACGGCAAAGTATTTGCTTTCTACACAGACTTCAATTGAAAAGAAGTTTATTTTAAATGGTGTTTTTAAGTGGGATTAGGCTTTCTAAAGGTTTTGCTAAATTAAAACTAAATAATTTATTTAGCAAAATAAAATAATTTATTTAGCAAAATAAAATAAATTATTTAGCAAAATAAAATAACTTATTTTGCTAAATAAAATAAATACAACAAAATTCTTGTTGGTTATACATGGTGGCCAGAGTCCTGGAATTTTCTTTGAAAAAAAATCTTTTAAAAGAGTTCTAAAATAACTTGGAAATGATATTTTTTGAAATAAAGTTAAAAAATTGCAAATAATATTAGAGTTGATTTTTTTTTATACTATACAAAAAGTTTATAATAGTTTTAATTTAATTTTTTACAACAAGAAAGAATTTCCTTTCATTTATAATTTAAAAGGTTTTATTTTTATTATATTATTGTATTAAATTAGATTTTTAAAATTCTTTAATCTTAAAATTTTTTTTTTATTTTGATTCACTCCCAACAAGGCTGCAAGCAACCACTATTAAGTTTGGATTTACTAGAAAACAGAGAATAGATTTAGGACAAAGAAAACAGTTGAAAGAAGACTTCAAAAGTTGTAAGTTGTATGAATCTCATCTTCATGAAAACATGAAGATTAGAGAGAGAGAGTTCCCATAGGAATAAAGTGTAGGAAAACAAAAATGAGTAAAAGTTTTTAGAGCATACAGGGATACAGTAAATTAAAGAGACTTTGCGGAATGACAAGTCAAGTAAAAATGAGTTTTGGTTGATAGACTAGAGATGATAGCTCCTTTTAGCAGCAACTATGATAGTATTTGTAGAAAAGAGATAAAAAGCAACCTTATGACGATTGGAGAGAGGCTCATGCTTGAAAGATAGAGCAGGTCCAGCTATGTTTACAATGCATTTTTGGACCTTGCCTAAAAGAAGCATCATTAGAAGAACCAATCCAAATATGACAACAGTATTCCATACAGGGACAAATAAGATTTCATACATGGACATAAGATTCCATACAGGGATGAATTGTAAAGGAAGAGAATGGAGTAAGATGATAATGAGCGCAGTAAAGAGAAGCAACCTTAGCAGATGCTTTGCAATCCATATTAGATTTGTGGTTTCCATGAGAGATAAGTAGTGAACTATAATCTAAGAAGACCTAAAGAAGAGGATTCAGTAAGAGGACCAACAGAACCAAAGATAGAACCTTTGGTACAACAGAAGTTATTGTAAATGAAGAAGAGTGGTGATTTTCAAAGATGACTTTGATAAAGTGGTTAGAAAGAAATGATTTAATAATCTCAGGCCTTGTTTTAAATAAAAAATGCTTAACGCATTAGCCTAATGTGAATTTGACATCATAAAATTTCTTTATCTTTTTATTTTTTAAATTCATTAACTTTTTTAAATTGCTGCAATAATATTAATTACTGCAAAACTAGTTAAATATTATTTAAATCGTTTTTATCACTTATAGGAAATGTTTATTTTCTTTCTTTTTTTTAAAAGGATCCCTAAGTGCTCCTAACATATGATCTCATATGAAAGAGCATAAAAAAAAAATATGTAAGTTTTTTTTCTTTTTCACTAAATGGTAATAATAAATGCACGCTAACAAAAAGCAATTGCCGAAATCACTAAAAACAACTCCATTTTGATTTTATTTTTTCACCATTGAAACTCGATTGTTAGTCATTAAAAATCACTTTAGTACGTCACAACAACTTTAGAATATCTACTTCGATTTTCAAGTAAAAAAAAGTCGTGATTAAATAGTTAAGTTTTAATCAAGTTTTTTTAATTAGTTTTGCAAAAACTGTATAATAGCATTCGGTTGAAAGACGTCGTTAAAAAAAAGTTATTAAGTATTAATTTTAAATAGTTTAGAAATTACAAAAAAGTCTTACAGGGCTCGTATTAAGCGTATCGCGATTGCTTTTCACACTTTTGTGATTAGTTTTTTCTTAAAAAAAATCTTTTCGCAATTTGTTTTTTTGTTGTTGTTATTTTATTACTTTTTTTCTAGCTTAGCATTTTTTTAGCAATTCTTAAAAGTAATGTTTTTATCATAAAGAACATCACACAAAATTTATTATTGTGAATAGATAGATGAATAGATGATTTGCTCTTTTGCGCGGAGATTTTCTTTCAACGTAAAACATTTTTGAATTTAAATTACTTTAAATCTCTATGTGGAGAATTTTTACAAGGTCGTTAAAGCGAAAAGTTGAAAAGTTGGTTTTTATCTTTGTTTATCAAAACTTCATATTTAAAATAAGGCTTAAAAACGTTAGAGCAAAAAAATTACTGACTTTTTTCAAACAGTATAAAAATGCTAATAAAAACCAGCATTTTTTTTTACTTTAACGTTTTTAAGCCTTATTTTAAACATAAAGTATAATTCGATTTATTAAACCAAATTTTTTTGTTTCATCTTTTATTGGAAAACTTGAAATAGAAAAATTGAATAATAACATCAACCATTTAAATGAAAAACTTAATTCTATTTAAACTTTTATTAGTCCTTTATTCAAGAAACAATAAATTATAAAAAACATGGTATATAATTTTTTATGAAGTTTATGACGATGTTTTTTGATTTATTGACGCAAGCTATGAGAGGGAGGGGGGGGGGAGAGAGAGCAAAAAAAAATTTTTTTTTTTCGTGATTAGATTTTTTTGCGTTAATTCGAGCCCTGTCTTAGTTTAATTTCTAATAAAATGTCTATTCAACCTTATCAATTTGAACCAAAAAAATATAGCAAAATTAGCACAAATGTTAATTTAACTAAAACATTTTACACTAATTATTTTTTTTATCAAGCAAAAATGAGAGTACACTTTTGAAACCATAAAAATGACTGAAATAAATTTATTTTTCTAATAAGGAAATATTTTAAATAAACATTCATGTGTCTAAATCAATATTCATTTGTTAAAAACTAGAAAGAGTTTAAAATTTGACTTTTATTCATTTTTGGCCGTGGAATTGCCCTTATAACACAAATATATAAATTAAAATTATAAAAAATTTTTTAATATACAAATATATTTTCACAAAATGCTACAAAACTTATTCTTATAAGTAATTATGCGTTAGTTGAAAAAAAAACGACTTTACTTTTAAATTTAATTACCAACTAATAAGTTTGCAATAATG